TCCGAATATGCTGCGGCGAATGTCACGGCGTAACAATAGTTCACGTAGCGAGACTCAGAAGGATAAGCCTGCCTGAAAACATCTAATTAAGGTGTAACTTCGCCATCCAGCACAGCCTCATCTTAGTGACCTTTTCTTTTCTGACAGCCCACATTCTCGCCTGGTCCTCGCTCCACTGCTGTTCACAAAATGCCTGAATTTGAGATTCCCTCAGTTGGTCCTCGATGTTGAGATTTCGTAGAATCAGCTTATTCCTTTACGATGCACTCAATCTGGAGCGGTTGCGACTTTCTGAGTGCACCCTTGTCAATGCGACGCCTTTTGAATTAATTCTTTCATTATTTATTCATCTCACGTTTATACTGTTTACTTTTATCTCTTCCTCTTCCTGACCCAATCAGATATCTTCCACTCCGTGTACACTCGTTTTATCCAGTGAATTTCGTACGAACAAAACAGCATCATCCTGCAGGTGCAAGTTAAGGCAATTGCTAAATCTATACCCGCGCTTTTCAAGTGCACTCATGCCAGCATCTGAGTACTTTTAATTTTGTCTTAAGTATATGAGCATTGTTGCGTATTAGCCTGCGTTGGCACACACAAAATGTTCCCTGCATCTGCATTTATGCAAATTTAGCGAACATCCCCTGAGGCCTCAGGCTATCAATATATCATGAGATTTGTTTGGATTATTATAAGCCTTTGGTTCTGCCAAAATAGTCGAATCGTCACGTGTGGTTTACTTTCTTCAAAAAGTCGGTCCCTCTGAGAAACTTATCTCTTGCCATGAGTTTGTTGTAACCGTGACGACTAAATTTAATGACGTCACCGGACTCTTGGTGATTCGGCTGACAATAAATATGTATTTTTTTGCGGAAATAGCTGAGATTTTAAAGTTTAGAGCACAGCCGTGGGAAAAAGGCAAGCTAATGCTAATCCGTTGTTATAGCTATCCTGTTGGATGATGGGACACAGCGAGACAATCCCAATGCACTAAGTTCCATCATAATCTAGAGATAGAGATAGAGCCATTTGAGAACTCTATGCTTATGTACTTACAGAGTGAACAGTTTATGTAGCAACAACCCAATAATGTGTCTAAGGCACTTCTCAGGTAAAAAAGGTTTAGGAAAACTTGTGGTGTAAATAGTAATGGGATGTGCTCACCCTATTGCATTCAATGTGATGAGGGACTGGTAGATAAATGTCCCCACATTGACAAGAGTATACCTTACATTTCAAATGAATTTAACATAACTGTGCATCCCATAAGGTATTCTCATCCAGGCTGAAGTGGATTGCAGTTTAGATCTCGCCTAGGTTTCATCAGCACTCTCGACGGGAGTCGAACCAGCTTGCATATCTGATTTACTGGTAGTCTCGAAACCATACTTACAAACAGAAAGTAAGTAATTTGGTCGATTGGTATAGCAAATATAACTTTGCTTCATCGACAATCTCACTACTGAATGTGATATGGGAAAGTGCTTGATCTTCCTTCAAATTCCCATATGTCCTGTGACCCAAGAGCACTTGTGGTGTAGCAGTTAAAGTGTGAAGATAATAGGCTGCACTACCCGGGTTTGTGCTTTGCTAGGGTGCTGATAAGAACAGTTCTTATGAGGTGGTAACCGCAGTCCACTTCCGCCTTGATTTGAATACCTTTTGGAAAGCAAGACTATGTAAAATTCATTGAAAACGTAAGGTATATTCATATCATCGATGAAAAATTAAACTGACAGTCCTTCATCACCTTAAATGAAATCAGAGTGAAGACAAACAAAAAATAAGTAGTATTGGATTTGCCTCTTAATGAGAACGTTTGCAGTTCCAAACTTAATGAGGCTTCTGATTGAGCGAAGAGGCGAGGTCATAACTGCAGCCCACTACAAGCAACCTTTGGAGATGCATGATGCAGTGAGTTTTAACGCGGAACCAAGCCTCATTTTCAATTCATCCGGAGTAAGATCGTTATCCCAGCCGCTAAATAATAAAAAATTTGCAGTTATACTAAAGCCGATTTGGTCGGAGAAACTTTTTAAGCACTATATTCCATTTGTCAGGCATCAACCAAACTAAATAAAGTATAAAGACCAGGATGATGTGGTCTTTCATAGGTCGCAGTCTCCTTTCGTTGTATAGAAGTTGTTTGACCTTGTTTTCGCAACTTGGTCATAATGGTAGGACCGCAGTCTCCTTTCGTTGTATAGAAGTTGTTTGACCTTGTTTTCGCAACTTGGTCATATTGGTAGGAAGACCTAGAGGAGCGCACCTTGTTCTGAGTACATAGTATGCATGATCATTTGCAGTCGAACCTTGGACTTGGCACATTCTCAGACGTTTCGCCGGCATCGTAGTCGGCATCATCAGTGAGTCTTGCCAGTCTCAGCAATCAAGCTACAACTCGTCAAAGAGACAAGTGAAGTCAATCCCTTGACAAACTTTCTGTTGAGACGGTTATGCTACAACTCTTTGTTTTGTCCTGGTCACTCTATCCATTTCCTACCCTCTAGTTTCGTCCTCGTCCTATCATAACTTCTTACCTGTTTATATTCCTCAAGAAATGCGCCCTTTTGGCGAATTTACTGTGGCGTCATCACACCTGCTGTTTGCCTTCTCCTCTCTCTGTCAAGTGGCTGATCCTGATCTAGCCTTCTGTCCAGATCTGCCTCATGGGCCCGTAGGTCCGTTTCTTACCTTTCTGGTTGATCGATTTCACTCCAGCGTACTATTACACCAGGTGGTATTTCTCAAGCCTTCCGTAGCACCTACAAACTCGCCTTATCTTCAGAGTGACTATGCTCGGATTCCCATGCCTGCAGATATTAGGCATTAACTTAACGTATCATCTCCTCGATTAAGCCCTTGTACACTGAGCAAACTGTGGACATCTATATTAAGTCGCCTGCTGCATCTAAAGTGGATTATTAGCCCATTTGTCACAATGCCCGATTTATGTGACTATGAAGAAGAATTGGGTCACAGAAATCTGGCATTGTGATTTAATGGGCTAATTATTAACTTGAGATGCAGTAGGCGACCAGAGATAGATGTCCACAATTTGCCTTTTAAGAAGAAATTTTGAAGTGTAATATGTACAAAATTAGTTTTGGGTTGCAAAGAAGTAGCTCTGTTTAGGACTCGTGGAAAGAAGTATATTTTGGGGTTTCAGAACGGTTTTGAGGCAGGGCTTGCCTGTATGGAGGAGAAGTAGAACTAAGGAAGTCAAGTATAGCCAGGAGCTCTCCACACTAACAACTTTATGGAATGTAAAATGCGCCTGCAACCAGGCATGTGTTATCCTAAGGATAAAGAAGTTTACGGTTTGAAAACATAGCTTCAAATGATAGGCGCTTTTGATAGAACAAATGAGTAATTAATCTGACGGTGTCGGCAAGTGCATACAGAGATATGCAATATTAGTGAAATTTTTATGATACAAATGAATGTTCAAGAGTCTTAATACTCGCTTAAGAGAAAAGCCCTTGATAGGTAGGCATGGAGGAATACTCTGGTAACTCAAGAAACGACAAATTAAAACTTTTTAGTTTATAGACGAGTCTAGCTTGACATCTGTTTTTGCGTTATGGTCACCTGAGACTTGAGGCCAAGTACCCTGTAGGGAAAATGGCCCAATTTGGCGGAGACTTTCAGGTTGATATAGCATGTCTAGGCGATTGCCAATCTGACTGAATGTCACAAGAGGACGAGGATGACATTGACACTTTGCCCGAGCTTTAGCCTCTGCAGCCATACGAGCCCTAGTGGTGCGCAGCCATTGACGGAGCTCTTTAGAGTTAGACGTAAATTTTGCCTCTGGTTTATTCGAGTTAGATTGAATCGGAGAAGAAACCGAGGTGGAAGCAGAAGGGGGAGGGCCTGGATCGCTCGGTATCGACTGCTGACTATGGCAGATGCCATAGCCGAAGTAGCAAAAGAGACCTGTGAAAGGAAAGCAAAAGGGGGTGAGGAGAATTTTTAAGGATCCATGGAGCACACAGCACGCCTGTAACCAGAAAAAATGGTTGTCTTTTTAAGCCTAATGCATCATACTCGACTCGTGTAAACCGATCAGAATGGCAAGTGCAAAGTCGACTCCATGACGGGTGTGAAAAAGATCTGAAATAAGGCTAATTACCAACTGCTTTAATTCGTCTTTCCAGTGAAACAGCAATTTCACTGTACACACATAGGGCTCTGTCAGTCTACCTTAAAATAGATTAGCCAGGAGTTTCGTTGTTATGACGAAAGCAGCTCAGGTCGGATGGCCCCAAACAAAGTAGTTAGTTTATTATAGTGGTGTGTCTATGAGGAGGTTCCAAAAAGTTAAAAAGGTAAAATTAGTTTAGACTGAACTGAGTTCACAGAGGCCCTTTCAATTAAGTTTAATGTGGCAATCGATCAAAAAAATCATCGTTTTTTATTTATTTAGACCAAAGAGATCAATCATAGCTTAATACTTCAATGTGACACTAATACTAAGCGCAGGATAAGGCAAATCTTAAGAGAAAGCGTAATTTCAAATAATAATGTAGTCAGAGGTTGTTTGACCTTGTTTTCGCAACATGGTCATATTGGTAGGAAAACTTAGAGGAACGCACCTAGTCCGGAGACCATTGTCTGCATGATCATTTCTAAAGTTAAACCGTGGATGTGGTACATTTCCAAACGTTTCGTCGGCATCGTAGTCAGCATCGTCAGTGAGTATTGTCATCCTAAGCACCATACAGCAACTCGTTAAAGAGACAAGTAAAGCCGATCCTTTCACCAAACGTATGCTAAACAATTATGGTATCTCCTCTTCTGCCCTGGGTTATTCGCGTTTCCGGTAGCGTCCTATCATGCCTTCAATATTACTATTTTTACCGTGTTTATTTAGATATTATATGGTGTGCTCCTTTGAGCGACATGACACCCTCACACTCCAACTCTCGTTCTCACCCCCCTCACATCCTCATGCAGGGAATGACGATCAGAGTCTGCTTTATTATTAGGCAGTCCTCTTTCCTAGTCTTATCCCAGTCTCTCTCTTGCTCGGTAGAATCCGTCTGCTCTAACCCTTGTTCACCCATTACACTCAACTCCTGCCACCACATCTGTCCTACTCGAGGCGTTATTCGCACTCACCTGCGTCAGAGGCGCAAGCCTCTGAGCGTTATGGTCACCCTTTTGCTACATGTACCACGTCTTTGGTACAACAGACCAACCGTCAGCCAACTAGCTCCGGCCCCCGCCGTCTCTATCATGTTTCTATGATTTGCCATGCCCTAGTCTCTTGTGTGTCAACCCACAAATGTTGTGGTACAGCTTGCTTTGATTTGGTTCAATATTGAACCACAACGTTTGTAGGTTGGCACACAAAAGACTGGGGCATAGCAAGTCAT